TCCCTTCCTTCCTGAACGCATGGACAGGCAAACCAGAGTGCTCCTGAGGACGTTAAAGTGTTCTCAATCTGTTGTAATCACAGAAATTAGAGATGAATGAGCGCCTTTAATGAGTTGACAAGAATTTTAAAAATCATACATTTAAACACGGCTTTGTAAGAGTTCCTTTGAAAGAGACCTATGAAATGCTAGCAAAGCCTTAAAGCTTCAACTTCTAGTGCTGCTGGTTTGGGATTTTTGTTGCAGTGTTTTAATTAAAGTAGAGTCTCTAGCAAACAGTCTAGCAGCTCAGTTCGGTGCTGCATCACAGTCTTACAACTCAGAACCGTCGGTAACAGCAGACCCCGAGGAGCCCCTGTGCTCTCTGACACCCACCTGCGACCGCGGGACCCAGCGTGCCCTGATCCCAGCACCCGAAGCCGAACGCTCTCCCCTGGTGTGCCCAAAACCTGTCCTAGGAAGAGTTCTTACTGTGAGCCGTAAAAACCTAATTCCTGCCTGACCAGCCGGACCCCCTGGCAGAGGTACGTTTTGGAGCTGGTCAGGAGCACAGTGGGGTCCCAGCTAGGGTGGGCAGGGGCAGCACTGGTGGAGCGTGGCGCCGACACCAGCCCCGGGCTCACGCAACAGCTCTCACCCACAGCTTGGCATCACGGCACAGACATTCACGAACTCTAGAAACAGAACTTTTGACGCCAGGTCATCTCCAGCTTCCCAACTCCCACCACGTGGTGTGGGTGGTCAGCATCCCCTGACCCCCTTCGCTTCCCCAGAAAACCCTTCCGTTCTGACAAACTGGTGTTTTCATGCGATCTCTCTTATCCATCTCTCTTCAGCAGCCGTTTCAGTGTGTTGGGAAGGATCTCGTTGCTAATGAGAGCGTTGGCAATCCCTGTCGCACAGACGTGGCCAAAAACGCAGCCAAAGTCTCGAACGCGCTTCTTAATACCTCCAGCTTTGCCTCGTTAGTGGGTGCCAGGTCACTGCTGGCATTTCAGCAATGCTCAGAGCTTTTATAAATATCTTAAATATTTTCTGCCGTTTGCCTTTAAAAATTCAGCCAGCATTTGAAACAAGAAATCATAAAGCACAATGGTTTTCAACCCAAATCTAAACACGTACGTATTTTTGTTTCAGTTTGAACTCTGAAACATTTAAATCCAGATAAGTGAATGTTTCCCTGACACCAGAATTCCACCACTGCTTGTGACAGAGTGCTTTATAAAAGTGATTTGGAACATGCAGGATAACATTTCCCATGTTATTAAGACATTTAAAAATCAGCTCAATTTATATCAAAGGGAAAGCTTACTTACAACACCCAAACAAGGCTACTGTTAGGAACCCATTAACTCTCCTACTGTACTGTTCATCAGCTGCTGTTATTGCAGATTCCTAAATATATTTAGGATACAATTGAATTTCCACATTGACCCATAAGTGAAAAGCAATAAAAACACATTTCTTCTTGAAGGTGAAGCATTGCAGAAAATAAAATAAGCGCTGCATTTGGTGGGGTTACTATGCAAAAAACAGTTTTGAGAAATCCAGGACAAGTTGCAAGCTCCTTAGGTAGTTAGTGACCCAAGGAGAGAGGTACAATAGTTTTTCTGGAACGGGAAACAAAGCAAAGGAATTAAATTATACTGACCCTGCATCTCTGATCCCTCTGCTGTGCTCATCAGCCCTGGTTTAACAGAGGCTGTTTTTAATTTAGTACAATTTAAATTTTGCTCAGGAGGTTTTATAATGAAAGCATTATTCTTGGGTGCATCTTAAATCAATCTGAATTACTGAAACAACTATTCAAAATTAATTCAAAATCAGCTATCCAATTCATGCAGAAACATTTTTCTCAAGAGGCCAGCAGCTACCCATCTCGGAGCTCGCTCCCCCTCATCCAAAACACCCGTACAATAAACGCTACCTTTGCCAGCACCCTTTCTTGCTTCTGCAGGAGGTTTTGACCCCCAGGACCCTCCACCCCGAAACGCGGGCGCTGCCGAAAGCAGCGGAGCACAGTGCTGGATCCCATCGTTAGCATTCGTGTCCCTGTCTTGGTTTTCAGCTGACTTGATATGCCGTAGCCACCAGGTTCACATCCATATAGAGACAGTTTAATTATCATAAATTTTGTTACTTTGCTACCAGCGTGTTGGTTTTCTTTACTTTTAAATAGCATTTGGCTGTGGACAGGGCAGCCCCACGTTTCTCTGCCCGTCAGCATCCATCACAACCACGGCCGCGGTACGAGACCTCTCTCACCACCAAACCCCACACCACTTTTGCCCAGAGCATGTATTTTTCTAAGCTTTTTATAGCTGTTTTCATTTCACCTGACAACAGCAGTATGTCTGGGACTCGGGCAGTGTCTGCGACCTGCAGCAAACTGTAGTTCAGAAAACGTTAAGTGCCACCTCTGCCTGCACGGTGCCAGGGCACGAGAGGCTCCGCCAAGCACCGCAGCCGTGCCCCGGCCGGCGGGATGCCAAGCGGAGCACCGGCACCCAGAGCAACCAGTGCCACAGTGGCGTGGCAGGGCAACCCGGGGCAGAGAAGGGTGGAAAACCCACAGGGAGTCCTGGAGGGAATTGGCACCGAGATCTTTGGGCCGTTTGTGTCAGGAAACCAGCAGTACCACGGACCAAGGAGCAGAGGTTGCTGATGGATTTTGTTCTCGTTGGAGCTTAGGGATTATGCTGCGTGATTTTCTATTGCCTAACGAGGGCTGAGCTCCCACAGCTCACTGCCCTCGGGCTGGTCCTGGGAGAATCTATCTTCTGTCCCATCTGTCTCCCTCACCATTTCCAAGAACAATGGTTTCGAGGTCGCTATCCCTCTTTCAGATTCGGCTGCACCGGTCAATGAGTTTGAAAGATGCACATCAGTGCACTTGGACAACGCGGTCCTGTCTGTACAATTCATTCAAGGAACCAGGTTAATGGTAGGAAGTCAACAAAACAGATGTGCTGGCCTGGTTATGTCAGCAGCCTGATCCGGAGCAGGATCTGAAATTTCTTACAGTTTTTATTAGCGGAGCGCTTGGAGAGCGGGGGTTCGGGAAGGGGGGTCTGGTTGGGTTTGTCTCGGCTCAAGCTGGTGCCCCGAGGTTCTGCAAAAGGTGGGTCAGAGAGGGGAGGGGGAGCACTGACACACGAGGTCCCCTTGCAAAGAAACAGCGTTCTCGTTTTGCCGATTTCTTGGGCTTTCGTTTTTTATTGGTATTCAAGCGCGGAAGAGAAAGGGGATGAAATGAGAAAGGGGATGAAATGTAAGCAGTGCCACAGCACGTGAAAGACTCACTGCCAAACTGTTGACAGCTGGAGTGGCCTGAACTTACCAAATACTGACCACGTTTCTCGCAAGCGCTGCCAGCTACCGTGGGAACAGCCGTTTCTCCAACGCAGAGCCCTGAAACCACTCGAGCTGATCGTAACCTTCATTCACCCTCCTGCATGCAAACCAGGAGGAGTTTGCAAAGTCAGGAAAATAATAAATCATCTCTGGAGCGCTGCCATTCCCGGCTCCTCCGGAAAGATTTGCTGTTTGGCCCAGTAATCGCATCGCGCGCGTCAGTACTCCAGTCGCTGCCGTTAAACTGGATGGGAAAAACGCGTGAGCAGAAACGCTGCTTTGCGTATTTAACGGCGCCGCCGGAAAGACGGATGGGACGCGGGACATCTCCTTTGTAAAGCAAAGCACTAAAGCTTCCATCACTCTTGCTGTTTCCCACCCAGTCAACGATTCTCATGTCCACAGGCCAAAGAACTGCTTGAATTTAACACACAGAAAGTCCGGTTGAACGATGAACCGATGGAGCTACACAAAGGAGCCATTTTCTTGAGCTTTCATTCTCCTGACTCCAGCTTCATCTTACATGAAACGTGTATCAATTTTCTTCTCCTAATGGATTTACAGATATTGTGTGCGAAGTGTCTTTGTATCCGAAACTACAGATGGAACCTGTTCCCTTCACTATCTTGATGTAAATCTCAGGCAAGCATCTCATTTTTGGGCTATTTGTATTCACTAGAACCCCAGAAGTATTAAAATACCTTCATTCATTCTCAAAGCAAGTGGAATTCACCGGATTTTTCTCTTTCTTAAAAAAACAAAAAAAAATTTATCTGTCCTTAGGCTTTCTGTAGCTTTGGATATTTGTA